TTTAAAAAAATAATGTTTCTTTTAAGAAAATAATAAAACTTTAAAAAAATAAAAACAAAAAGATGTTTATCTTTTTTCCTGCTGGCAAAATATTCAGAAAAAAAATGCTTCTTTATACTAAAAAAAATAAAAACAAAAATTAAAGATGCTTATCTATCTTACATATGAGAAAAAAATAATATAAAAAATAAAACTTAACATAAAAGAAGATAGTGCGTAATAAATGTCAGAAAAGTAGGATCATTTTAAACTCTAAAGAGAAAAAAAATATAAAAAAAGGAAAAAAAAAGCCCCCGCCACTCATCTTCTTCGTTGGGAAGACAAATGGTCTGCAATCAGAAAATTTCAGATATGGGCAACTCAAAAAGGAAAACAAGGATGCTCAATGAATGCCTTAGGCACGCCTCGGGTGCCTAGGTGCACCTCGTCAAAGCTAGGCGAGTTTTTTGCCCACTCCCACAAAACAGAGGCGCTTTTCCTCCCACCCCACCTCTAAAGCCGACTAGGTGCGCCTTGGGGCAAGGTTTTTAAAACACTGGTTTTGCTATACGTGAGAGAACGTGTAAGATGTGAAAGGTTGTCCCACGTCAGAAAGTTAATAAAGAACCTTACATAGGCTTTAAAGGAGTTGGACTACTCCTCCCATTACGAATCATCATTTCAAGGTGGAACCTCAACCAATTCCTTCATGATATAAAAGCAAGTTGACACAAGTGCGAAGCTCAACGACTACAAATATTTGATGTCATCTTGTTCACGTGTTTGTCTTAAATGTCACTACATGAGGGCATGTGAGAAGGTGCACGCATGGAGTAGACAATTAGCATTTGAATTGTGTATTCCCTTGCTTAACTCGCTCGATTAGCAAGTGAATTGTTCAGATTGTTGCTTTTGGCATTATTCCAATGCTTTTACTGATGTTATTGTTTTTTTCTGTTAAAAAAATAAATTCTTCGTCCATCATATACCAACTTCTTTAATTGATGTACCAAAAAAGCCAGTCTATGTAGAAGAAGAGATGATGTGAAAAGGAATACCTCAATCACATTGAGCTATACATGTTTGCGCAGATCTACCAGTTTCAGATAACATCATAGATGTTCTTTGAAATTAGTCTTCACGTTTATAATTGTGCTTTCTCTGTCCTTTTAACCCTAGTTCCAGTAACTTAACTGCAGAATGCAGTACCTTTCCACGTGTTACTGCTTCCATAACACGCGAGCACACACACCTACATAGCTCATGCAGGATTCAACATGGGATTTCACTGGTAACTAGGGTTCCAGTTTGACAGTAAGAAGATGAAATTGATCTCAAAATTAACTGTCTCACAGACCTGGCTAGGGTTTTGTAGCTTTGTACAGTCAGAGAACTCGTCGTGTTGCGCAATGTGTACAGAATCTTGTGTAATTATTTTTGATCTAGGGCTATAAAACTGCACCTGCAAAGAATTATTACATGAGCAATTTCAACGTGGTAATGAGTGGAGGGGGTCGCATAACCTTTTTGCTGTGTGCCGACGATATCAGAAACGAGGAAATTGAAATATCTATCAGTGCCAGAAAAAATTCCAGAAAGATATGTCGAAGGTGTGTGAATGAGGTTGTTTGAGTACAATGTGGACATGAGTTAGTCTCCCACAATTTGACACGTACGTTTTGGAGGGTTCCCGACAGTAATATTCTCACATACCCCACCTTTTACTTCGCTACAAATTAATGTTATAAGAGATAGACTTCAATCAACTCATAGCTATCACTCTTTTTCAAAACTTACTCATTATTTATTTATGAGAGTCGAATTTAAGACTTCTTACGAAGAATATTTATTAAACCATAGGACTACAACTAATTAATAGGCTTATATTAAAAGCAAAGAATAGTATAATTGTTTTCATGCTCATACCAGAGAGGGGTTTTGAAGTTTTATAGCCCTTTAATCTTATTTCAACTATTAATCCTATCCTGACTTCATGAGTAAGGATTAAGGTGAGCTATTACCCAAATGGTGATGCTATTCACACACTTCTTTCAATTTCCGGCTACCAGATCGAATAAATATCGAATGACGGAAATTAACAGAGGGTGTGTGAGAAGTGAAAAGAGATGTGCATGTGGCTCAAGACAATAATAACTTAAACATGGATATTTTCTGGAGTTGTTATCAACACTTTACAAAATTATATGCACTCCAAATTTATAAAAACACAAGATAAGTTTTGCATAGGCTCAAAATCGTATTGTCTTACTCATCTCAATCCATTTCTCAAAGTCTCGTTTTATGCTAACCATACCAACCCACCAAACGAGGCTTAATATGATGTTCTAATTTGTATTAATTCTAGATAAACTTATTTGTGGAGGAAGTTGAGGTTTATAAAATCAATTGGGAAATGAGTTTCACCCTTAAAACTGAAAAATCTTGAACCGAATAAAATCAGGGGTGTGATATCCACACACTTATTTTTACTTCTCACACACCCTTCTAATTTTCAACCGTCGGATTGAATGAATTGAAGAAGATCAACGGGCAAAAATTAACAAATGATGTGTGAGAAGTAAAACAGGATGTGTGGATAACACACTCCTAAAATAATCAGGTACGTTTCCATTGGTTCTATTCGTTTAGGGCTTAAACTCATTTGATCGTTTTTTTGTTGGGTTCAAATACCCACCAACGAACTCAAATCAAATAAAAACTAGAAAAATCGAGTGAATGACCGCATTGCATCGGAGTGTGGATGGAAGTTGCAAGACTGTGAAGGAGGATAAGTTTTTTATTGTACGCGCAACACGAAAGGTACATCACATATTATCATATAAGTGGAGAAAAGGGGTGTACCACTTCATGTTCTTGGAACACCGAAGGAGAGATTTTTCAATGTGACCGGTACACGGGGTAGTACACCACGTGTCACTAAACAAATGGTGGGATATGTGTGTTAAAAAGTTAATAACTTAAATAATAAAATTTCCCACAATTCCTATTAAAACACGTGGTATACCACTTGTGTTCCCGTTACAACTAAAAATTTCTCACACTGAAGAATCTCTCGAATGAGAGAATGGAGATGAGGAAGGAAGGGTGAGACAATGGGGGAGATAGGGGGATGCTAATTCAGATATCAATATGGGTAGTACTATTTACTCACCTATTTTATTTCTCACACGCCTTTTAATTTTCGATCGTCGAATCGAATGAATTAAAGAGATCAACGGCAAAAAGTTTACAAAGGTATGTAATAAAAATAAGTGTGTGAATAACATTATCCTTTCAATATAAGAAAAACTAGTTACATCGATAAGATTAACTTCATATAATTGGTCACATTTGCTTTTTAAGTGGCAAAAATCAAGAATCGAACTTTTTTTTTTAACAAATAATATTATCCATATTAAGGGCTGGGGGAGTGGAATAAGCCTCGCAATGGGTTAAGCATAATGTGGTTTAAATTCGTCTTTGGCGCAAATTGATCATAAGACCTCTTACTTATAAGTAAAGAGGAATACCATTAGACTGTAGTACTAAGTGACAACAAGAATCGAGCTTGTTCAAGCCAAAATTTTTATTATTGTCATTTCAGTACAGCTTCATTCATTAGTTTATCGGTTAAAATGTCCAGCTCTATGAAAAATTATTCAAGGTAAAAATAAGATAAATTTGGACCAGAAAAAATCCGTGCTCAAAATAAATAATTATTGAGCGGGATTTTTGTCGGTACGAATAGATTAAAGTACAAAACTCTCATTTCTCTGTCAGTTAAATTATCTACTTCTAGTGGAAATTTCACTCTAACAAACTTTTTAGCACCTACAAATTAGTCTTGGGCTGTAATTCCTTGCAAATTTTCATATGCTTCACTAAGATTGGACCGGACTTTCCTGGCATTGTAGAGCCTCGAGCCACGCCTAAACCCATTTCTAAATTCCAAGGCTCAAACCCAAGTCTTGCCCTCCACGAGGAATTCAAGTTCTATAATAGTATTTCAACAAAGAGAAGAAAAGAAATTCCATAGTAGTAATATTTCATTTTCTTTCGGACTTATGCCCCGTTGTCAACAAAAAAGAAAAAGAAAAAGAAAGAACTAACGAAGCTATGTTTTCAAATCGTAAGTAAAGTTATGAATATGCACGTAAGCATATTAGTATTACTACATTCAAATGTTTAACCAAAGTGGTTGATATAGTTGCACTAAATTCATGTTTTGATACATTGGAAGGAATTGAAATATGTGTAGTGTGAAGTCAGGATTTGATAAAATAAGAGAGGTGATTTTCACACACCATTTTTAACTCCTCACACGCATCTCTTTATTTTTAGTTGTTGGATTGAATAGATCAAATGAAAACAACAGAAGTGATTAAACAAAAGTATGTAAGAGTCTAAAAAAGAACTCAAATGTTCTCTAAGACAAATATGGCTTGACTCATATGTTATTTTGAATGTATTTTACATATCATATACACGTTTATATTGGTCTTAGTGCAACATTACATTATTTAAATTCCTTTAGGGGTGCAAAACTAAAAATTAGGTGAAATTTCTTAACTTGGTTGGAATCATGTGAACCCGATAACCCCATCATCTTTTCATTGTTGTTTTTAGACCTGTCATAATCCTAACTCACTACTCGCCCTCCATCGCCGCTTGAGTCAACTCCAAGATCGAACTAACTTTCTAACTACAAACTCCCACCTGGAATGTCAGCTTCTATGCAACACAATCTTGGAACACACAATGCACAAAACAACGCATAATTGAGTTTAAACTAAACAACAAAACAAATCCACTCAAACCATGCCAACCTAGAACACTATATTTAGCTTGTCTTCTTCCTCAACCATCCCAATGTCCTTCCCCCATTTTCTACATTTAGGTGGGCCGAACGCGGCCCAAACACAGAAATCGCAAAAATAGCAAGTTGCTTAAACTCCAACGGTAATGCGAATTCACATTTCTCCCATAATTTTTCATTTCTCTGTATAAATAAATCCCCATGCTTTTTCCAATCCCATCACCCAAATTCCAACCCCATCATTTTTTTCTTCACAAACCCCCAGCCTCCCTCTCTCTCGCTCTCTCCCGTCGCAATCCGCCGCTCCGGTCGACAACGGCTGGCTTTCAGATGATGATCCGTCGCAAAATAGCATCTGGGTAAGATTCTGAAACGCCATTCTCGCACTGGTTTGTGAAAAAATCGAAGAGAGACAGAGGGGGGAGAGAGTGAGTTTATGATAGAGAGGACGACGACAATGGAGGTTGAGAGGATGAGGCAGCTGTTACTTCTCTGGTGTAAAAACTCCTTCGTGGCTCTCGTGGGTGCTAATCACACCGCCGCCAGGTTCTGCGCCCGCTAAATCCCATCATGTTCTTCGCTGTTGTTTTTTTGCCTTCTATTCCTTCGTGAAAAACGTTGCAAACTTGCAATCTTTCAAACTTTTCCGCATCTGGGTACTCCCCAAACCGGCTTTTCGAGCTGTTCTTTGATCGGATCCCGCGCTTTCGCTGAGCTTTTCGCGGGATTTTTGGACCAAAAGTGTTGAAAATTAACAGAGCAATGGAATTGGCTGACGGGTTTGCAGCCAAGGATCAAAACAAGGTGAAGTACCTTCATGGTGGACAGATGGGATTGGATTCCGGGACTTACTTGGTGATCAATCTTCCGGATTCCAAGGCATTGCGGATTATTTGGTGCTCCGTTTTTCTGGGTTTAGTTATTCTTTCACTGCCCTGCTTTGGAACAATTCAGAGGGGATTAAAAGTTTCCCAATTGGATTTGAATTTCGAATCCGAAAATTTCAATTTCAAGCAGTTGGGTCTGCTTTTTCGTGATTTGGCCGGCGAAGGCCTGCGCAGAAAGGGTGATACATCTCTCATTGTGGCTCCTGGCAACGCCGGTACGCTTCAAAATCTTCACCCTTTTGATTTCAATGGATTTGATTTCGTTGTGGATTCGGAGTCGGTGCCGAAAAGCTCGTTCTTGGACGAGTCTATGGATTTCGTTTTCGCATTCAACTTGGCCGATGCTAAATTTGCTGATCGCATTCTGAAGATTGGCGGCATTGTTGCCGTTCCAATAAGCATCGACCCTTCGAACGCCTTTAGGCCAAAACCCAATTACAAAATCGTGTATCTCCGCCGATACGCTGCCACTTTTGTGGCAATGAGGAAGATAAGTCCGGCTTATGACTTGCCCGTGACGTCCCGGCGGCTTTGTCAGTTGGAAACCGAGGAAAAGAAGACGGTGTTAGAGGGTCTGGAAGACGTGCTGCTGGAACCGCCGAGGCTCGTTTTGGCCAAATCGAATGAATACTTGAAGAAAATCAAGTTCCTCCCCGAGTTGTTGGGTGATTCCCTCGACAGTTACAACCGCCGAGTGTTTGTCAATGTAGACCTAAACGAGGAAAACCGCGGCATGATCGAATGGTTTGATCAAAACTACCCGAAAATGAACAATGAATTCGAGGTCTACAACCTCGAGGTAGAGCCCGAAGAGGCTTCAAGCACCCCTGAAAACGACGTTTCGGACTGGTTGAAAGACAATGTGAGGGAAGAGGACTACGTTGTGATGAAAGCGGAAGCGGAAGTGGTGGTGGACATGGTGAGGAAGAGGACAATCTGTCTGGTGGACGAGCTGTTCTTGGAGTGCAGCAACGGATGGTGGCAGAGTGGGAGGAGGAATGGTGGGAGCAAGAGAGCTTATTGGGAATGCATTGCTTTGTATGGGAGGCTGAGGGATCTTGGAGTTGCTGTGCATCAGTGGTTCATGTGATTAAATTGAAGAAAATTTGATGTCTTTTGGTGTCAAGAATTTTGCTGCCTTAATTCTTGTGTGTGTGAATTGTTTGGGTTGGTTAATTTGAGTTATGGTGTAGCTTAAATGGTTTGTTTATGAAACCCTATGAACATAGCTTTTGTTTCCCATCACTTATATTTGAAGTGTTAAGTGGAAGGGTGTCATACCGATTTATTTACAAAATAAAATAAATAATATTATTAGTCTACTAAGTTATTTAAATTTGAGGTGTTTGAAAATTGAGGTCAATGCATGAAGAAAGTATTCCCTTTTTCTTTGTTTGTATCTATTTTATTTTATGACACCATTTCTATATATTGATTCATTCAAATTGTTTCATGTTTGTATACGTGTATTGTTCTAAAAATCTATGCCTACCGCTGTCTAGGCGCTAGGCGGCTAGCCATTGCCCCCATTAATTTCTAGGGTTTGAAAATAAGAAATGACATCTAGACTTGTCTAGGTCACGACTCTTACTTAAACAGAAAATAGATAATTGTCATTCTGCGTTTTATTTTTCAATAAATTGTAAGTGAGTTTATTTTATTTTATTTTATCAAACGATATTATTTATACTAAGAAGGTAGGGAGAGTGCGCTAAGCCTCACGATAGGCTAGCAAGAGGGTGGTCCCCTCTTCTCACGTAAAAGCAATTAGAATTCGAACACGATGCATTTTACTGAGAATGATAGATTTTCTAATACTTTATAGTCTATATGTCATTCTATTTTTACAATTTATGTATCCTAATACAATTATATACATATTTTAAGTATAAATAGACATTATTTATATAAAATGTTATATATAAATTTAATAAAAATTAAAAACAAAACTATTAATAGACGACTAAGCGCTAGGTCTTTGTCCGCCGGCCTATTAGTGCCTAGTATCTTTTAAAACCTTAGCCCAAATATCTCCTCTTATATCAGGTCTCAAAACAAAAATCTTGATTTGCATATTTCTATTTATTTATTTTAATACAAACAATATTAAGAATAGGAGATTCGAATATAGAGCTCAGTGGATAAAGAAATCAAACTTGGAACGTTGTACGCATAATAAATTACTTGAGTTACAAATGACTTTGTTATCGACATGATCATTGATAAACTGATTATTGGTGATTTAATAGAACAAATAGGAAGTGCAAATTCACATCTTGAATAAATGGATGGATGAATTTGGCATCCGGAACCCCAGCAAACAGGGACCATGCCAGTTTTGCGGTTTTTACCAAATGACTTTCATTTGGTACCGGTTGCTTTCTTCTCGATTCCATAGGATCATCCTCCCAATCAAACAGGACGCGCATGGTGACGACTTTTTAGAAGAAGAAAATGGACCTCTCTATTGGTAGTTGGATAGTGCTATTCACACATCTTTATTTATCTCTTACACACTCTCGTTAATATCTGTCCGTTAGTTTTCTTTAATTTCTTCGATTCTATGGCTGAAAATTAAGAAAAATGTGAGAAAGATAAAAAATGAGTGCTAATAGCATCATCTTTTGCAGGGACGAAGCTAGAAATTTGTAAGAATGAGGGCATCTTCAAACAACAAGGTACAATTAAAAAACTCAAGAATTTACTGCACAAAACACTTATATATTAATCCATAAAGTTTTTCATACAACATCTTACAATATTATTCAACGCATTTTCATGCAAATAGATCTCTCTATAAAAATAATCATGTTATCATTGATCCATTGATCTCTCATTCGATGTTCAGAAATTTCATTGCCGAAAATGCTCTTTCAATTGTGGCAGTAGTGTAGGAAATTTGAGTAGTTTGAGTAGAAATTTTTTTGTCCCACATTTGCCATTCTCAAAAGATTTTATCACTTTATAAGGCTTTTTCCTTTAGAAAAAGTGATTGGAGTAATAGGCCTGGAGGCTAAAATTGGGCTCACCCTTGGGGTTGGGCTTTGGGTGTACTAATTAATATATAATTAATTATAATTAATATATATTTAAGGCTTTGGGGTGTACTAATTAATATATAATTAATTATAATTAATATATATTTAATTGTCAGGGCCTTGGGGCTCTTGGGCTCTAATAATTAAATTATTTAATTAATTATTTTTCGGATTTACATAATTATTTTTAATTAAATTCGAATTTAATTATTTATTTATTTTTTATGAAAAGACTCATCCTTTCAGATGAAGTCTGAGAGTTCTTTCGAACACAAAGCAAAGCATTCATCTGAAGAGATGTCTCCCAACAGTCACACCTCATTCTCATACCTGTTGCAAACAGGCATCCATCTACTACATATACATCCATCTGTATGACATTTAGAATATAGAAAATAATCAATTTCATCTTCTACATTCCTAAACCTTCTTACTGAGAGAACCACACTAAATTCGCCAGAAGTTAAATTTTCCGGTGCTGGAATTTTAACTTGATCGTTGAATCCTGGTGAAGCAGATGTCCGTAGAACTATAAGCACAGAGTAAGGACGAAATTTCTGTTTCAATGACATTACGGTACGCAAGCCTCAATCTTCAAGTTGTCTGTTTTATAATTCGTATTCTTATTTATATTCTGTTAATTCCTATTGCATTTATTATTTATTAGCATATATAAATAGTCACAGATTGTTGACATATATCCAACAATCTTGAAACAGAAAATTTATGGATCAACAATCTGTAAATGTGAATGGCACTGTGCCAAAATACTCTGAAAAGCCTGAGAAGTTCAAAGGGTTGGACTTCAAGAGATTGCAACAGAAGATGTTGTTCTTCCTGACAACAATGAATCTCGCTCATGTTGTCAAGGAAGAAGCTCCAAAGTCTAATGAGAATCCAATGACGAGAGAGACTGTCATGGCAATTGAAGCTTGAAATCATTCTGAGTTTTGTTACCGAAACTATATCCTGAATAGTTTGGATGACAATCTCTATGACATTTATTCTTTGTGCAAGACAGTGAAGGAGTTGTGGGAATCCCTGGAGAAAAAGTATAAGATTGATGATGCCGGTTCAAAGAAATTTGTTATCGGTAAGTTTCTCAAATATACAATGGTGGATTCAAAATCTATTGTATCTCAGGTCGAAGAAATCCAGAAGTTGATCTATGAATTGCATTCTAAGGGATGCGAGATCAATGAGCATTTCCAAGTTAGGGCGATAATCAAGAAATTGCCAACTTCCTGGAATGACTTCAAAATTTATCTCAAGTACAAGCGTCGTGAGATGAATATGGAAGATTTGATTATGAGGCTACGTGTGGAAGAAGACCACAGAAAGGCAGACCGTTCTGGACGGTTTGCAGCCATTGAAGCCAATGCGAATTATGTTGAGGGAGGAAACTCCAAGGCTAAGCCGAAAAAGAATAAGGCTCCTGCTCCGAAAACCAAGCAGTTTGTGCAATCTGCCCTTGCTCCTAAAGGCAAGAATCTGAAGAAGATTAAGGGCGCCTGCTATGTGTGTGGCAAATCTGGTCATAAGGCACAAGATTGTTATTATCGCAAGGATGGAAATCATGGCCACGGAAACAACAACAACCATGCTAACATGGCAACCACCGATGAAGAATTGGCTGCTGTTGTATCCGAGGTTAACATGGTCTCGAATGTGAGTGAATGGTTGATGGATAATGGTGCTACGAAGCACATATGCGCTGACATAAATATGTTCATCGAATATCACCCTGCTGCCCCTGGAGAAAAGTTGTATATGGGCAATTCTGCCTCATCTGCTGTGGAGGGATATGGCAAGGTGGTACTCAAATTCACATATGGGAAAAGTTTGACCTTGCTGAATGTGCTGCATGTTCCTGAAATGCGAAGGAACTTGGTTTCTAAACCAATTCTAATTGCTAAAGGCTTTAAACTTGTAATGGAATCCAACAAATTTGTACTTACCAAGGGTGGGATGTTTGTTGGAAAAGGGTTATGTGGCTGATGGCCTTGTGAAACTCAATGTAATTGCCATTGATGATGCTAATAAAATAAATGCTTCTACTTATATTGTTGAGTCTTCTAATATTTGGCATGCTAGATTAGGACATGTTAATTTTCGTTCTATGCATAGAATGGTTAAATTAGAATTATTACCTAAATTCAAAATTGATTTTAATCATAAGTGTGAAACATGTACTGAATCAAAATTTGCTAGGCAAACGAGAAAGTCAATTTTGGAAAGATCAAGTGAATTACTTGGATTAATTCATAGTGATCTTTGTGACTTTAAATCCACACCAACTCGTGGATGAAAGAATTATTATGTCACTTTCATTGATGATTGCAGTAAGTATTGTTATGTTTATTTGATTCATAGTAAGGACGAAGCTTTGAATATGTTTAAGACATATAAAGCTGAAGTTGAAAATCAACTTGAGAGAAAAATCAAAGCACTTAGATCTGATAGAGGAGGGGAGTATGAGTCTACTGCCTTCTCAGATTTTTGTGCACAACATGGAATTATACATCAAACAACGGCTCCATACACACCACAACAAAATGGTGTTGCCGAAAGAAAAAATAGAACATTCAAAGATATGATTAATTCCATGTTAAATAGTTATGGGCTTCCACACAGTTTGTGGGGTGAAACTTTACTTACTGCAAATACCATATTGAATAAGGTTCCTCTAAAAAAATTGACGAGTCACCTTATGAACTATGGAAATGACATAAACCCACTTATAAATCCTTAAAGTGTGGGGTTGCTTAGCAAATGTGCAAGTTCCATTACCAAAAAGAACGAAACTAGGACCTAAAACTATTAATTGTGTATTCATTGGATATGCAAATAATAGTGCTGCTTATAGGTTCATTGTTGTGAAATCCTCGATTTCTGACATAAATGTCAACACTATATTAGAATCAGCGGATGCATAATTCTTTGAGGATATATTCCCTTACAAAGAAAAAGAATCTGGTTCTAATACAAAGAGGGTTCATGATCATAGTCATGATGAAGTCTCTTCTTCTGGTGTCCAAGGAAATGATGTGGAACCAAAAAGAGGAAAAAGAATCAAAGTTTCTAAAAACTTTGGACCATATTTCATTTCTTTCTTGTCCGAGAATGAACCTAGAACTTTTAAAGAAGTAATGTCTTCTTCTGAGGCCCCTTTATGGAAGGAAGCAATTAAAAGTGAAATGGAATCCATTATGGAAAATAACACATGGGAATTGGTTGATTTACCTCCTGGTAGTAAACCAATTGGTCATAAATGGATTCTCAAGAAGAAACTTAAGGCGGATGGAACCATTGACAAGTTCAAGGCACGTTTAGTAGCCAAAGGTTATCGCCAAAAAGAAGGGTTGGGTTATTTCGACACCTATTCTCCAGTTTCTCGCATAACGTCAATTCGGACGTTAATAGCGATTGCGGCTGTATACAACTTTGATATACATCAAATGAATGTAAAAACAACATTTTTAAATGGAGAACTAGATGAAGAAATATACATGGAACAACCTGAAGGGTTTGTGCTTAAAGGATAACAAGGCAAAGCGTGCAAATTAGTTAAGTCGTTATATGGACTTAAACAAGCACCAAAACAATGGCACGAGAAATTTGATCATACTTTGTTGACACATGAGTTCAAGATAAATGAATCTGATAAATGTGTCTACATTAAGAGTAATGATAAAACTTGTGTTATTGTCTGCTTGTATGTGGATGATATACTCATAATGGGAAGCAATAAAGATGTAATCAACAAAACAAAGAAAATGTTGAATTCCAGTTTTGACATGAAAGACTTAGGTCAAACCGATGTTATTTTAGGAATTCAAATTAAGAGAAATATTGAAGGATATGTCCTCACACAATCCCATTATGCAGAAAAAATATTACGAAGGTTTGGTCAATTTGACTGCAAACCTGCTGCAACTCCTTTTGATCCTGGATGCAAGTTGGAGAAAAATAAAGGCGATGCCATATCTCAACTTGAATATTCTCAAGTAATTGGAAGTCTGATGTACTTGATGAATTCAACTAGGCCCGACTTAGCTTATGTAGTAAGTAGGCTTAGTAGATATACAAGTAATCTGGCACAAGAGCATTGGGATGCTTTAGTACGAGTGTTAAGGTATTTAAAAAATACACTTGACTACGGATTACACTACACAAAATATCCACATGTTGTACAAGGCTTCAGTGATGCCAACTGGATTATGCCAACTGGATTTCTGACACTACAGAATCCAAGTCGACAAGTGGATATGTTTTTACCTTAGAATGTGCAGCAATATCTTAGAAATCCTCCAAACAAAAATGTATAGCTCGGTCCACCATGGAATCCGAGTTTATAGCTTTAGACTTGGCTGGCGAAGAAGCTGAGTAGCTCAAAAATTTTCTGGAGGATATTCTGATGTGGCCAAAGCCGGTCACGGCTATATGTATACATTGTGATAGTATGGCCGCGCAATCAAGGGTCAAAAGTCATGTATACAATGGGAAGTCACGTCACATTAGGCGTCGACATAATACTCTTAAGAAGTTGCTCTCCAATGGAATAATATCCATTGATTATGTGAAGTCAAAGGAAAATATATCTGATTCTTTGACAAAAGGCCTACCAAGAGAGCAAATATTATTTACATCGAAGGGAATAGGTCTTAAGTCAATTCAATGAATCGAACTGGGCAGAAACCTAACCTAGCTGATTGGAGATCCCATGGTCTAGGTTCAATAGGCAAACTGGTTGAGTTTGATTCAAAAGTTGAACACACACCTTACCCATTCTTATGATAAAATGTGTGTTGTCTGTTGACGTTTGAGGGGTTATGTTTTATACATTTAATGACTTTAATATCTTGTTATCAAGAGGAATATGGCAGACTATTCTTAATTAATGTCACCTATATAGGAGTAAATGGGGCCACATTTATGAGAATTGAAATAGCTAAATTCTCTAAAGCTCCTACGAAATCCGGAATCTGTTCAGGGCCAAAATGAACACAACCGTATGAATTGACGTGTGGCAGCCATGATATGTGTGTAGCATATTGTCTCTGTTTACTACTGCGGTGAACAGTTCAAGATCTTCCACATCCACTGCGTCACCAAGTAAACCCGATATGTTTTCACTAGGGTAAGTTCAAGTCCAAAAGACACTTCACCTGATGCATATCATGACTATTCTCTCTCAGTTTTAGGCAGCCTAGTCACACATTTGCATTTACATTTGCATTCAAATGTGGGGTACTTATTGGAGTTTGAATGAAATTTCAACTCAAATGTGGGGTATTGTTGGAAATTTGAGTAGTTTGAGTAGAAATTTATTTGTCCCACATTGCCCATTCCCAAAAGATTTTATCACTTTATAAGGCTTTGTCCTTTAGAGAAAGTGATTGGAGTAATAGGCCTGGAGACTAAAATTGGGCTCACCCTTGAGGTTGGGCTTTGAGGTGTACTAATTAATTGGTAATTAATATATATTTAATTGTCAAAAGATGGGCCTTGGGGCTCTAATAATTAAATGATTTAATTAATTATTTTTCTGATTTACTTAATTATTTTTAATTAAATTCGAATTTAATTAATTATTTATTTTTTATGAAAAGACTCATATTTTCAGATGAAGTCTGAGAGTTCTTTCTGAACATAAAGCAAAGCACCATTCTGAAGAGATGTCTCCTAACAATCACACCTCATTCTCATACCTGTTGCAAACAGGCATCCATCTGCTACATATACATCCATCTGCATGGCATTTAGAATACAGAAAATAATCAACTTCATCTTCTACATTCCTAAACCTTCTTACTGAGAGAACCACACTAAATTCGCTAGAAGTTAAATTTTCCGGTGCTGGAATTTTAACTTGATCATTGAATCCTGGTGAAGCAGACGTCTGTAGAACTACAAGCACATAGTAGGGACGAAATTTCTGTTTCAAGGACATTGCGGTACGCAAGCCTCGATCTTCAAGTTGTCTGTTTTATAATTCGTATTCTAGTTTATATTCTGTTAATTCCTATTGCATTTATTATTTATTAGCATATATAAATAGTCACAGATTGTTTACATATATCCAACAACAATAGCAACTAGAAGAGTTAATGCTAATGTCACAAGCATGTAAACTAGCGGATATATCTTGTCTTTTTTCCATTAGACCATTTTTTTTATAGTTAAATTAGAATTGACGTTGGAATTGAAATGCAATCCAATTTTTCATTTGTAGTTTAATTAGGGCTTCGAAATTGGAATGCAAAAGTACACACACACACACAATTGAGTGGGGGCGGATGCCCTCCTAAGCCCTATACAGCTCTGTCCTTGATCCTTTGTCTTCCTCTTGCAAAGCACTGAGCATTAGAGAGATTGTTAGTAATATGCAAATTTTGTCAAAATACGGTTAACTTGATAATCTGACGAATAGATAGGCCAATGACGTTGTTTGGTGGACTAATTCTATTTTCGGGTGCTTGGAAAATAATTTCCTAACTTAATTGAGAAGCATAACACCATCTTCTTGGCAATATTAAATAATGAGAGGATACATGAAAGAAAACATTTCGGAGCAGAATCATGTCATGCCCTTTTTTACGGAATGAGGAACCAGAGGATTCTTTAATCATATTCGTTCACTGTGAATCGTGTTGTCAGTTTTTATCAAGTACTATTTGTGTTTAATTTTAAATAAATTTTTTAAAATGATTTATGATCGCACGTTTTACGATGAATGAACACGATTAAATGATCCCTAAAATCTTCACAAAGATAATCCGAAGAAAATCCTCATTCCTTTTTTCACATCTTGTTGTTTTGGCCTTGCCATGTATAAGCATACTAGTTTTGGTTAGAAAAACAGGATGCCTTTTGGTGAATTCCTTTCCAGAATCGACGAACTGAGAAATTCGAACCATTTAAGAGAGGGAGGGGTGCCACTTAGTACTACGGTCTAGTGGTATTCTTCTTCATTTGTAAATGAAAGGTCTTAGGTTCGATTATTGTCAAAAGTGAATTTGAACTACATTATTGCTAGCCCATTATGAGGTTAAACCTACCTCTTCTTTTTATATAGATAATATGGTTTTGTTCAAAAAAGAAAAGAAAAGGAAAGAGAGTCTAGTTCGATTGTATGATGTAGGCAGGCTAATCGAGACCTTAAGTTTTAAAATAAGCAGTCTGAATCTCTCGATCTGTGAAATCTAGAATGTGAGATCCTCTTCGGATCTCGATTCCAAATCGGTAAGGATTATTTTTTCCAGTTTTTCAAAAATATGAATAAAATTATTATTCTTTTGAATCAAATTTGAAACCTCTTACTCACAAATAAAATTATAAACCGGTTCGTTTAGCAAAGGCGGGTACGAACAAACCCCGCGTCAGGCTGCCACAAAACCAAACGCCAAACAACCGAAATCAACACGCTAGTTCAATCACAACCGTCCATTCCTTAATTTTTCAAGAGATTTGTTTTCTTTTCTCCGGCGAATAATCTCACGTGGGCTCCATCTCCATCCACCAACTTAAATTTTTTGAAATCACAAAATTAAATTCAACGAGAAAGATCGAAAAATTCGAACCAGACCGGTTACTTAAAACTGAAATCGCCCACCAAACTCTAATCTCTCTCTCTCTCTCTCTATCCGATTCAAACACTTGAACCTCACTGCGACCCAATCCAACCAACCCCCCAAAGGTACTCTCTCACCAATTTCAAATTCCACTTCATTTTTAGGGTTTCGATTCCAATCGATTTGGGGATCAAGATTCATCAACCAATTTTTTAGTTTTAATTAATTTTTTTTGCTTCAGATTTCGTGATTAGAGTTGAAGTTCGAACCTCATGGCGCGGATAAAGCCGCAGGCGCTGTTACTTCAGAGCAAGAAGAAGAAGGGGCCGACTCGAATCAGTATCACCACCATAGTTATGTGCAATTTAATCATCGCCTTGGCTGCCTTGTCGTTAGTCGCCACTTATCGCTATTGGTTCCGAAGGTACCATTTCAACTGATATTTTCAAAATTTTGATGATTTTATCTGTTTGGAAAGTTGGATTATATATGGGTAGTTTCAGCTACTTTTTTTTATCGTGCGCGCTAATTTGCCCTCGTAGGTCGCTGGACCAATCTGGGTCGGAGTTATCTAATCGAGAGGTATTAATTTGGAATGGGTATTTTCCATTTGCGTAATTAATTAAGAATGAATTAATCTTCTTGTTTGGATAATAATTATGCGTAAATGTGTAGTTGACTAAATTAGGTGGGTTTTTTTTGTTTGTTTGTTTAGGATTTTGATGGGTTTGGAAAGAAGGGCGATCTTCCCGGTTATGCTGTAAGTTTCTTAAGTTCTTAAACACATTTGCTGTACTGCCAACTTTCTATTTGGTGTCACATTGCATGAACCTGCAATTTTCGATTTCTAGAATTAACGCGGCGGGGTGGTTGTGGACCTTGTGGTGTTGCTGCGGCCGTTAAATTTGTTATGTAGCAAAGTTTATCAATAAACCTCTTTTCTCGGAAGGTATCTGGGTTGGGAAAATTTAACAATTAGGATTGCTGCACCGGTTTCCTTCGGTGTCATTTCATTCCTAGTCTTTCCGCTGATGTTTTATTTTTAGAGTGTAAGTCACCTGTCTGCTTTTCCACAATTATAGTTATTCACTTTCTTTCTTCTTCCACTTCCCTGTGTATTTTGTAGATTCTAAATACACCAAAAGGTCCTATCACGGTGGAACTTTTCAAGGATGGTTCTCCAGAGGTCGTGGATAGATTTATTGACTTATGGTGAGTATTCGACATCACATGTATCTTGCATGCATACTTGCTGTAGTAATATTAAATCATCTCTATTTGAAGCTATTTCTCTACAGAGTAAGAGAATAAAGTTAAAATTATGGGACGGGGTGACCTTGTACATAGCTGTTAGTAAAATTGCTCGGATCCAAGGGGTTTATTATTTAATATTTTTATCATCTTATAAGCCAAGGGGTATATTTTGTTGTAACTCCTTTGTAAATTATCAAATACGCAACAACAGGTTAAAGGTTCATATAACCTTGGTGATATGGAGACCTAGTTGACTTGTATCCAGGCTAAATTGTAAATAAAATTAGAACTTCGACGATTAGAAATCATTTCAAGATTCTGAGTAGCAGTAACATCCAGAAATAGACTTGCTTGGTTTTTGTTGGTTGTAAGGGCAATAGTGTGTTATGCCGTCATGGCACTTCTAAGGCATTAGTTTTGCAGTCAAAAGGGACACTTCAAGGGGATGTCGTTCAGTCACGTGATCAAGCACTATATAATCAAAGGGGGTGGTTCCCAAGGACTTGGAGCTGCTGAAGATTGGATATCAAAAGGGAAGCTTCGTAGTCAACTTGTTACGAGGTTTGTTTCATAGATAAAACTTTTACATTGGTTGTGTGGCCTGTTGGTCCTGTGTTGCAAAGCTGATAGCTTATTCTTGCCTGTGTGAACCTGTAGTCCGAAGCATGAAGCTTTTATGCTTGGAACTACGAAGGCTAGACCAGACAACAAAGAATTTGAGCTTGTTATCACAACTGCACCAATACCAGATTTAAATGATAAGCTAATTGTATTCGGACGGGTCATCAAAGGAGAGGAAGTGGTACAGGTATAAAATTCTGTGCAGCTTGGGTAACTTATTATCATGCCTAGACTTGGATAATACCTAATTTATAATGCTTTGCATACGGTCTTCCATTCAGGAAATTGAAGAGGTCGATACAGATGAACATTATCGGCCTAAATCATCTGTAGGGATCACCGGCGTGATTCTGAAACATGAGATCTAAGGGCAACTCAATTCTAATGTGAAGTATACATGCACAGCATCGTTGCTGGTTTGAGCGTCGTCTTGCTGGACTGCTCTTGCATTGTTTGTGACAGTACATCATTTAGGTTTCTGATGTTCCCATCCGATTTTTCCTCCTCTCTCGATTTGGGTTGTAATTTGCAGTGGGGAGGGGGGAGTTTTGATACTTTTTTTTTCTAGGTACAGATTCCATATGTGGGGTGGACAAAATACGACAATGCAGCTAAATCTGATATGCGAGTTTGTTGTGGTAATCATTGTGTGATATTTCAAATTACGCTTAATTATTGTTAGTTTGTTATGCCCTCTAGATTGTGACTCATATATCACTTTGCCCACCGAACCTCATTTTGTCCGACTTCGCCCCATGAACATTCTCTGTATCACTCTTTCCAAGGTTCATGGGTCAATTAAGACAAAATGGTTGTGAGGGCAAAGTGAGAATTGAGTCACCTTTTATTTTTTTATTTTTTTTATTTTTATTATTAAGAAACCTCGACGTTATAAGGAACATTTTATTGATTGACGAAAAAAAGAAGTTACACTTAATTGAGAAATATGAATTTTACCCCTCGCAATACCAAAAAAAAAGAAAGAAAAGAAATACATGAAAAAGAATGGACATAAACTTTACCCTTTTAGAAATGAAAATAAGAAAGATACAAGGAAAAGGGGGACATGAAATTTAACTCATTTAAAACAAAATCTAAGACCAACTCCAATGGTGGGCTAAAAGTCAAATTATCTCCCAAAATTTCCTCCCAAACCCAATCCAACCCAAGGGGAAAATTTGGGCTAAATGCTAAATGCTAAACCAAGGTCAGATTTCTCCCAAAATTTAGCCCATAAATCGGAATTTAAATTTTTCAATATTATCGGAATTTAAAATTTTTTAGATTAAAATGTTCATAAAATTAATTTACGATAGTCTACATATTTATTTAAAAAAAAAATTTATCCACAAAAATAGCCTAAGTTCATTATTTAATAATTTTAGGCTAGAGCGGTTGGAGCATAAAAGCTGTTTCTGGACTAAAAACTAAATTTTCCGGGCTAAAATATTTGGTTTTTAGCTCAACCATTGGAGATGGTCTAAAGGTAATAATCTGCAAAACAAAAAGAAAAGACGATCATGCAAATAACAAAAATCATCAAAAAGAGAAGACAAACCTTAGGTTGGTTGGGATGTCTAAAAATCATGTCTAGAAAAGAGATACCATACAAGGGAAGACGAAAGCAACCCTAAATTCGCCAATTTATTAGCGATGGCATTCCCTTCTCAAAAATATGAGAGCAATGGTAAACCATGTGCTGCAAAAGGAAAAGGCAATATTTCCAACGAATTTGAAGCTGCCAAGGAGGATAAAAAGAGGTAGAAGCAAAGTAGGAGATCACATTGGAAAAGTCAATTTTGAGCCACAGATTTTGCCAACCCCGCGAATGCCATTATATCACAATTCTGAGGGCATAACGACAATTGAGCTTTTATTTTAGGAAACTTTAACGAAAAGCTCCTGGTATTATTCATTTTAACGAAAAACCACATTTTTACACTAAAAAGTCAATCCTGATACTATTCACTTTACCATTTATTTTATCCTTATCGTTAAAACTCAAAGTTTTCAAACTCATTTAATTAGTTTTTCTGTTATTTTATGCCTAAGAGAATAGGACAGAGTTGTCAAGCTACGAGGGCAGAGCTTCAACAAGAGCTTTGTACTTTTTTATCGGAATTTATTGGCAGCGTCTAATGATGAAAAGGGGTGGGGAGTGACTAATCCTGATGGAATTAGCGCGTGCGAGGCCCATACCAATCATATGGACTGCGGCCCAGTCCACTACCGAACCCATATTTTTCAAAACTCGCGCCAAAAACCGGAACGATTTCTCTTCCCTCCCATTTAAAACCAAAAAAATGTGTATTACTATTTAATGCAATATTCACTCAGAGCAGATTACCAGGGCGAGTTGTAAACTCAGCGAAAATGAACTCAATCAACTCGGCCATGGACATCGATGAGCAGAAAGACCACGAAGATCCGCTTCTCAAATTCATCGATTACGCCAGGTCCGTCCTCTCGCCCGAAACGGACGAAAATCTGGATCCGAATCAAAACGGACCGGAGACCAGTACTCGACCCAGCTGGAACTGGACCGCCTCTCGGATCCTCAAGACTTGCAGCGCCTACTCCAGCGGCGTCACCACCGCGATTCTGCTCTCAGACCTCGCCCAGGTACTGCCCTTAATCGATTTCCTCTCTCTCTCTCTCTCTCTCTCTCTCTCTCTCTCTCTCTTTGTTTGGTTGCCGAGAAAATGTGGGGAAATGAAAGAAAGGAATAATATGAGAGTTTGTGTTTGGTTTCCGATAGGCGTGGAGCGAGCAGCGTAGGGACAGGCCTCTGAAGAAGATGCCGGAATGCGTGAAGCAGTTGAGGAAGAAGCATAAGAGGCGGAAGCTTCCGAACACCGTGACGATTGACTCCATTTATGAGAAGAATTTCTTGTCATTGAGTAGTGTTTTGGAGGCCGTTGTTGTGGAGGCTTTTGTTCTTCCGGGTAGTCTCTCGTGTCGAAAATTTCAGTTTGCAATGTGATTTTTGTTTGCATTTGTTGTTGAAATTAGTATTTTGTATTTTCTCAGGTACCAACATCCATATGCTTTCCTTGGGGGATTACTGGAGCTCCAATACCATTGACATTTATCTCCACCGCCGGTAATTACCCGAAATCTTGGAGTCTACTGCTTTTATATGTGTATTTGCAAATTACAATTACATTTAAGTTTAATCCGAAACCAAAATGTTGAATTCTTGTGCCTGCAGGTACTGTGACTTAGTAGATCCCCGTAATGGGATTCTGAAGAAGGGGAGGGAGATCTTCCTCACTGGGTGCTATCTTCGTCCTGCCACCGGAGGAGGATCTAGCTATCCGCGGTTGTTGCCAACAGAATATCTAGTGATATTGCTAGATGAGGTAACTTTTACTGTTGGACTTCTTCGGTGCCTTGCGGTTGGGAAAAGGTTTGGGTATGATTTTATAAATTTTTTTCTCTTACATTTCCTTTTTGTCTTCACTAATGTAGGATGACGATGGTGATTCATTGTTGATAGGAGCTAAGTTTTATTCGGATTCATTCTCTTCAATTTCTGCAGCTAATAAAGATGTCCCTTATTCATTGTATGCAAGGTTAGATAAATTTTCTTTATATTTTAATAAATCGAGATGTTCTATGAGGTATAGAGGTGTTTCGTGGGGTTAAATTGTGCGTGGTGGTGAACCACTTACCTTGGTTTTCCTATGTATGCATAGAATTGAATCTATTGGGCCACTGGAAGTTCATGGGAAGTTTGGAACTTTACAGAGAAAACAAATTACTCTTGTTAACGAAGATGATGTCAAGCTACAATTTCTGCTGTGGGGTGATCAGGTTGTCCTGGCCAATCTTTTGAGGTAAACTCTTGCACTAGATTTCATATTTTTTTTAATACTTGTTCCTTATTATGTCCATAATTCAATTTCTTCAGTGTGGGAAGTATGCTTGCACTGGATAAACCATATGTCTCTAGAGCTATAGATAGTGGTATCGAAACAAGTGGTGAAGTTTGCCTTGAATTTGGTAGCGCAACGCAATTGTTTTTGGTGCCTTTCATTCAACATGAGGAGCAAGTAAGTCATTTATCTTCGTTTTACTAATTGGGTTATCACTTGAAGTGCTGCAGACTAATTTCTGTATTAATCAGGTATGTGTAGCACTGACACCAAATCGGTATCAAGGGTCAAGACTTCTGAGCACAATAGATCCCAGTCAGGGTCCACAAGTCTCTCAAGTTTCTTTGCCATGTGATTCACATGGGTCTATTGACTTCAGTAGCTATCCTTTCCGAGTGAGTTTCTTTCTATTATACTTCCTCATTTTATTGACTGCTATTTAGCCATGCCTCTAATTTAACTTCTGTTAGAAGCTACGAGTACCGTGCTTCTAAAGGAATGCATTATGTTTACTTTATCAATGGCTTACTGTTTGAAGCTTGAAGCGTTACTGGATATAACTTTTGCACGGGTTCCTTGTGTATCTGTCTAAGTCATACTATGATTCTTCAGGAATTATCTTTAATGTCCTTATCCATTCATGTAAACCTATCGTGCTCTTATCTACTACCCAATGAATCACCCAAGTTCATGTGAAATCAACTGCCTGTCCTGACGCTCTTGTTACCATTTGTTCTTAATTTTTATTAACATCTCTTGCTTGTGAAGTTTTGCAGTCATTTGTTTCTGGCCTTCGTGACAAGATGACTGGTGTCAGTCTTTATGGTGTTGTTACCAATATTTTCAAAGAAAAACATACCGCAGAAGCAGTTTTCTCCTTGAGAATTGAAGATACCACTGGACCAATTTGGGCAAAGTTTCATTTTGTGAAGAATTGGTATGGAGAATTAGTTAATTGAATACAGATGGTTTTACAGTCTCTTCCCTGATTATAATTTTTACATATATAATGCTGATGCTGATTTTACTTCTATGTATTTATTTCCTAGGTCGCTCGGAAGGTTAAGCCTTGGTCACACAGTGTACATATCAGGCCTGACATGCTCTATGACAAAGCGGAAGTGGTGAGCTTATTCAAGAATTACAATTAGTCACCTCTGATGTCAGTATGTAGGCTGGTTAACGTTTTTTCTAATGTTGGCAACAAGTCAGCTTATAGTTTTTGTTTGGACACTTTCTGATTTGTTTCTAGATATGTGATTTAGTTTGGTTTCCACTTAAACATATTTGCTTGGCAGCTTGGAAGCATCATGGTTTGAGAACAGTGCTGGAGCTTCTTTCTTCAACCTCAGTTGCTTGCCAGCATTACTAAATTCATCTTGTCTTCGTAAGTTGTCAAGACTCGCTGATCTATCCAGCCAGGGTAGCTGCACGCAGGTACGGGATTTGTATGAACTTAACTGTTGGCTAGTAGCCATGATAAAACATTTGACTTAAGTTTCTGTATGTATTCGCTTGTCTATACTCCTGAATTTTCTGCTGTTAATCTACTATGTTCACTGGCCTTTATATTCAGCTTCTCTTCGTGTTTGAGCTTATCAATAGCAAATGTTGGCCAGTTTATCACAACTTTGTTTCCAAAATATGATTTGGAATCAAGGAACGATGGTAGATTGGTAGGCCTGACTCCTGAGTGTGCTCCTGCATTGGTTTTGTAATTATTATCAGTACACCAACACCCACCGCTCATACAAAACTAGTAGA